CACGCGCTGAAACTTTGGGACATATTTGCAGAATACTGCCAGAGGCTTTCACAGCGTAGCTTTAGCAGACAGGAGGCTACCAGGCGTTGTGTCTTTTCCCCACCTTCAAAGATTTGGCAAAATTGTCTTTCAAAATTTCTAATTCTATCAGAGAAACCAAGGCCCCCAGGTTTCCCCTTTGACAGGCTTAGAGCACCGTTTCTGGACACCCGCGCCGGGGGTTTTCCTAGGCTGCCTATCAGAACCCTCTGAGCCATGCGTGAGACCATGTACCATGCCATCTGGAACCACCTCTCTCAGAGGGTTTGGGAAGAACTATTAAGTGCAAGGTGGGAAAAGAGGATCTTAAAACACGTCAAGTAAACAAAAGCACACACTTCGGAATGCGTCGAACACCAGGAATACGGAAACATAGCTGGGACACTGGCTCAATCCCATGTAACCACTGACAACTATTCATGATCCAATTTCTTTTCCTCCCACTCAGATGATTCCCTTTATTTTGGTGGGGGGGGGTAGAGATCGGGGGGAGGGGGGCATAGGGGTGGGGGGGAGGTCGGGGATGACTCTGAAGCTCTTCCCTGTTGTTGAATAATTCAGAAGTGGAAGGAGCCATCTCACAAGTGTTTGTTGAAAGAGTAATCTAAGTAAACATGCGGAAACTGCCAAATCCTGCCAGGATCAAAGGTCTGTCAAACCACTAAGGGTTGATAGGAAGTCATTCCTCCTGAACATTACACACTCACATCTGACGTGGGATGAAGCTTCGATGAATGGACTTGCCTAGCTCTTCCGGATCAGCTCCGCAAGACCCAATGGAAAACTGCCACTCTGCTGGCAATTGGTGGGCTGGCACCAAGGACAAAAATGAAGACATCCACCCAAGGGGCAAACGCAACACCCCAAGACACTTCGTTCTTTCCCCCAAAGATATTCGTTTTAAGTGACACTCGTTTCTTGCTAATTACTCGCTGTGTGAGCGAGGTAAGTCCCGGAGGGTCCCGGGGATAACTGACATCCAGAGCGTCTCTGAGTGCAGATCTACAAGCTCTCCTGACGATGGTGCAGCAGAAGCTGGGGACGCGGGGGCCGGCGCAAGGGAACCTGTCAGAGCAAGACAGCACCAGCGTTTTCCACAAACAGTGAAGAAAGGTGGTGAGACTGCACACTGTCAAGAGAAGGAAAACTTGGAAGACTCGGGGAAAATACCAGGCAGTCCGCGCGAGTTCTGGCCCTCGCGGG